TTACATCAATATACGAGAATTATTTTTACACTGCTATTAGTGCTACAATAATCATCAAACAAAAGCGTTTGAAATGTGCATCTTTCGTAGAAGAAATTATGACACTTGAATTATCTAGTTGATTCAACAATTCCAGCAATAACATCTATAACAAGTTTTGACGCCGACTGTACAAAACATCTGGCTGAAAGCTACTGCGTATCTATAGACTCTATAGTACAGAGGAAGTAACTACCCCCTCCACTTCTTCTGAATCATTTTCAGTCCGTTGAATGGAAACGAAATGAGTAATGCGGAAATTATTGGCCCGGAGTTTTTCAACTCACTATCTAATATTCATCTAATCCTACATCTTCTGATCCGCGCTACGACGTTGGTCCTCCTACTGATTTTTCATTTCATAGAGGAAATACAATATTCTTCCGAGAATACTGGAAGAAAAAAATACTACCAGTGGCAATCAAAGAGTAGGCGAGGATAAAATGCGGAAGCATCGGCAAAAGCCTGAACAAGGGATTCAAAGACCCTAGCTGTAGAGTGTGTAAAGAGGAGGAAGAAACGCTGCCACACATACTAACATGTAGGGCTGCGAGAGTAAATATATCCAAAGAGGCGGTGGTAACTATGAAGGCGTTCGAGGCACGTGGGGGCCCCATCATCAACTGGCTCAGTGACCTACCGACATGGCTTAATGCCCACCCAGCAATAGAAGTCTGCCTCTTTGTAAGAGAGTTTGGGAAGCTCCCAACAGAACCAGAGTATTCTGGGACCTAAGACAGAGTAAGGTTATCAGCACGAACACGGGCGCCCTAGTGGAATTCGCCTTCCATTGGAGCGTACCACGCCAAGCCCATCAGGCAGACCGAAAGAAAAGAGAATGAGAACGCAGGATCAGGGCACATATGCTCAGAATACTGCGAGCTCATTCAAGTTTGCAGTTATGCCGGAGTCATATCCGGATAAGAAACTGGGCACTGAAGAGGTAACGGAGGTGAAGAAACTCCTGAAGGAAGCCATTCTGGCGTTACATGACGGGGTGAAAGCACTCACCTTCGACGGTGTCTGGGAAAGAGAAGGTGTGGCAATGGTGTACTGCACTGATGAGGAAACAGGAAATTGGCTGAAAAGCCTTTTCCCCGAAAACAAAATAGCTGGGCTTACTGTACGTGTGGTCGCAGCCTCGGAGCTTCCCAAGAAGCACAGGGTTATGGTACACGTGAAAGAAGCACTGTGCTTCCTTGAGAAAGAGAATGCAGGACTGCAGGCCAGAGAGTGGGTTGTCGCTCGGGGCAGTAAGAGCAGCGACGCGAAAAGTGCCCACTTCGTTGCGCTGATAGACGACCGACCACTCTCTGTTCTGAAAGCCTGCAACTTCAGACTGCACTGCGGAATTCAAAAAGCAACTGTCAAGCTGCTTGCGAAAAACCGTGGTGAAAGTCAGAAGAAGGGTACATAGAGGTACCAGGAAAGTAGTCATCATTATGGCTGCAAGCCGGGTGCACATTGTACAGATAAATTTGCATCACAGCGAAGCAGCCTCGGCTACTCTAGTCAGGCTATTAGCTGGGATGCAGACTAGACTGTGCGGAGGCGATAAGGAGGGCGTCATCCACATTTTATGTGAATGCCCCCTATTAGCACTCCGTCGCTATAAAATCTGGGGCCAGGTTTTCCTGGAACTAGAGGACTTACAACAAGCGGCTGTCACCAGCCTTATTAGCCTAGTGAGAAACACAGGGCTGGGGCTGTGTGACTGACCGAAACTAAGGCGGATGTTACAAAAGATCGTATGATTTAGGTGACTCTGGGCGCTTTAAGTGACCAGCCGTGCATATTCTAATTCTAAAATATGAAGATAGATGTGGATTGATAATGAAGGGTCAAGAGAGAGACACAAAACCCAAACGTAGAGGTTGAAACTACTACCATGATTTTCAATTCATCATCGGAATAATTTCAGTTGGCTTTAGGCACATCCTTCTACATCTTGTCAATTTTTGACAGAAAAAAAAATTACTGGACAATCTTCTGAAAACAAAAAAATCGTCTTCCGAAGATCTGCCAACTTTGATTCTGGAAAATTCCTGGAACCCGACATCGGTCTGGTACACCTGATGTCAGGTACCCTAAGCCTGATCAGATTGCAATGATGCATCGAAGCAATCCGAGGAAACTTCTACTCGGTATTCTACGTCATCTATCAACTGTTTATTATTAATTGTGCATTTCAGATCCATGACCTCGAGTGTACCGACATAGCAGTGGACAGTTGGTGCAATAGTATATTCACGGCTCAAATATGTAATGTAAGAGCAACATTCAACTCATTATATGAGAACAGGAATCTACTATAGATTACTTTGGAATTTGTACAAAAATGCTGGGGGAAAAACACAATAATTCTAGAAATTGCAGCATTCCTATTCTAAAAGGGGCATAGGTATTAATCACACTATCTTGAATATTCGACAGGGTTGATGGTCGCTCGCTTCGCTCACTCTTACTGCGGGTGGGTTGAAATTCGATTAGGGTGTTGGTCGCTCGCTTCGCTCACTCCTACTGCGGGTGGGTTGGAATTCGATTAAAGTGTTGGTCGCTCGCTTCGCTCGCTCCCATTGCGTGTGGGCTGGAGTAGGTGTTACTCATTACGGATCAAACTAATAACTCCCGACCAATTCCCATATTTCTGTTCATCCAATATCCAATCTAGAAATATCCGTGAACGTTACCAAGCTTCTTTCCTTGCTTTCTATACCCAATTCCTTCTTCCTCTTGTATGTACCATGCATGTAGTGTACTCACTGCAAAACTTATTAAATAAGCTTCAAAATGATACTTGATTTGTCCAATTTTTCATCAACTTATGAGAGTTTTAGGGGAAAATAGGATTTTCATTTTTTACTTGAAAAATTAATTTTGGTTGGATTTTTCGACGCACGTAAATGGACTAGGCAAGGATATATACATTATTTTGAAAAGTATTTACTTTTCTTCGAAATAGTGCTTGGTATAATTCTGATTCAATGAAATTTTCATTCAGTTGTAGCAGATTTTCTCCACAATTTACGTTATAGCACGCATCAAGGATTACAGTTTTTGCTACTTATCGATTTTCTTCTCGTTGCATCTGTCCTGATAAAGATAAATCGATAACATTTGCATAATTAACATATAATTATTTCAGGTCGTTGATTACTGTCAAGAGTACGTGTGGCCAGAACAAGATGTACCATTACCGCCGGATTCCATTGAAGTTTATGGGAAGATCATTCTTCAAACTCCGAACACAGCAGATTTGAATAAATGTTCTGGATTCGATTGCTTGCGAAAAGTACTTGCGAAGGAAAAACGTCGTGCCTTTGCGAAACAAACTCAATTTTAGTAATGAAAGATGAAGATGATGAAGTTCATTGTGACAAAAATAAAGTTTATTTATAGAATAAACAAAGGTTATCCTTACTAATTACGTTTTGTGAAGACTGAAATTTACGAGTAAAAATAGCAGGACCGTGATCTCGCGGTCTGTAACAAAAATTTCTTATTAATAAGTAGAAACATGCAGTAATGTGGGCAAGCGAGAAACACAACTTCCCAGTGGCATTATTAACAATTCACTGTTAAAAATTTTCGTCTGAATTCTCCGTGCCAAATTCCGGAAATTTTAATCGTGTTCAAGTTTCGCTGAAATTTGAAAATATCTTGTCATTGAAAAATCAAATAATCTGGAACTCAATAAAATACTTGATTTTTCAGTTCAATTATTCTATGAAAATTCAAAAAAATCTGGAAGATTCAGGGAAAAATTGAAAATTCACGTCATTTTGTTTCAGAATATTCATGTTCCACTGAAAATGCAATTAAGTTGTAAAATTTCTATTTCACTCCCATTTGTTCCCTAAATTCGATTCAATGCCACTCTCATGAGATTTACTATAATATCTTCCATGAAATTTCGAAAAATTTCTAACAGTGTTTCTGTTAATATCACGATTATATAATACGAGCTTCAATTGAACCTTTATCTATATAAATAAACTCACACTCATACATTTTCCATGTTTTGATAATCTCATTTTAAATCTACTTCATCATAGAACTTTCCATCATATTTGTTTTTATGTTGTAATCTAATTAGTCTATACTGAAAGAAAAAACAACTTTTTACAAAGAAGGTTGACTTGATACAAGAAAATATTCTCTTGACGATTTTAAAATTCGTGAAATCTTCTGATGAAAAATTTAGTTCTCAGACTGATTGTGAGAGAAAGAAGTTTTCCAACAGGATGAGATTCTCTTGTCTCGAGAGAATTTTTCAACATTCTCAAGATTAGGAATGATGCCCTTGCCATAAATTGATGTTGTTTGCGTTATTTCTAGAATCTGTTTTTCATCGGGACTTTGATTACATAAAATCTTGCGCAAAAAGCACAACACTTGAAATCAATTTTCTATATACTTTAAAATTGATAAGTGAAAGCCTTCGTCAGGCAATCGAAACAAGAATTTCACAGTTGGTGATGATGAGTGATCAGATCGGGAAAGTGTGAATTCTCACAATCCATTAAATTCTAGATGTAACGCAAAAGAATCTCATCCTGTTGAAAGACTTTCTCTCAGTGTGCGCACAAAATTATTTACCAGGAGATTTAATAATTCTAGAAGTTGAAGAGAATATTTTCTTGTATTATTTTTTCTTGTCAAAAGTATTTTTTTTTCTGAGTGAGTGTATCTCAAAATGTCACATATATGATCAACAATAAAGAAATTGAAATTGTCTTTATCTTTAGAACTTTGTACTATTGAAATCTCATTGCCAATGCGATCGTCCAATGATTGAACGGGTTACGTCTCATTCCTCAACTATTTTTTATGGTTAAAAAATTATCTTTATGAGAGTCTACGGAGTTCGACCTTAGTAATTCGATAAATAGTACCAAGATACTGAATATCTACACATAAATATGTACTTTCCAGAACACAGAATGACAATAGCTCAAGTGCATCACCAGTGTCAAAACGTACATAAAATCCTATTGTTTAACATTTAAAAATGAACACGTCATCTTTTTTGTGTCTGGTCTTCACAATTTTTTGTGTAATATCGCAGGTGAATATCTCAATACAAATAATTATAAAGATCAAAACAAATGAATAATTCGACACTTCCTAATTTAACAAGGGGATTTCATTTTTATTTTTAAAACAAGGGTATTTCAGAATTCCCTATAAAACTAATCTGAGTTTTCCGGGGAAAACTCGTCTAACTCAAACGAAATCAGAAAAAAAGCATTTCACGAACGCTGATTAATTAGTGTTTAACCGATTTAGTTGGCATATCATGAATTTATAATATGTTGAGAGATTCATGCCAGGAAATTAATGAAATGAATGGGAGGGACAAGTGGAGTGATCGCATCAAGGATTCAACGGGAGAAATAAGTGGGTAGACCATCAATTCAGAATTCATCAATAGGAAAATTGAAATCATCTCCTGAAACAAGTGTAGTGGAGTTTTGGAACGGTATATATGGGATTTAATGATTCGGAATAAAAATAAAGATACAGGAACAAGAAATTGAGAGAGTGAGAGTAGCCAGGACTTACGTGCATGTAATAATTCGAAAATATCGAAGGTACAGTGGTTACTCCTTAACATTTCAGCCTCTCGGACCAGAATTCAAGGAATTAAATGTTCTGGAAACCCTCATACTCGTTCGTTGGAGCCGGAACTGGGCAAGAGATAAGCAGAGAGAAAGAATCTGCCTGTTTTACTCTCACATGCCCAGAGTAATTTTACTGCGCAGCCTCATCGCGCAGCGGGACCCACAAATTTACCCAACCACTTTCACGTTGTCGATGGTGGGGGAAGTCAACTTCTTCGACTGAAATGTTAGGGAACCGAAATGTTAGGGAGTAACCGCTGTATAGGTTTTGACATCTTGATCGGCACGTGCCACATGGAATTAATTTTCAAACTCTTACGTTTTTATGCTTTTGATAGCAGCATGTATGTAGGATTCATGACAGTAATTTTAATAAAAGATATGATACGATTTATTCATAGAAAAGAAAGTTAAATGTTCAAGTACATAAATATACAAGTCTTAACCCGACACTACGAACTGCGGCTAACAACTAACTCCCCTAATCATTTGCTCGTCCTTAAATGCTAAAAGTGTCGTCTATTATCCTCGTCTTTCTCACTCACGTTCACACTCATTCCTTCTCATTCTATTTTCCACTCAATCTTTCTCACTCTACTATTCACTCATTCTATTCACTCACGAAATTACACTCAGGCCCAAACCTCACTTTATTATTTTATAATCTGACCCCCGGTCTCTCAATTCCGCCGTGTACTTCCCCGATGGACAGACACTCCGGCGTATTTCCCCATTGACCCGTCGCGGCTATAGAACTCGGGCCCGCACTGTCATTTTATGGCTTAATCCTCGGCTTTCCCAAAATATTCCATCAGGCCTTTTCCCACCTCCCCTCATGGCGTTTTCCCTTCACTATGTTTTTCCCCACTAACACTCATTCACTTAAAATATGTATCCCACAACCGGCCGCCCTTAATTCAAGTATCGTCCACGATGCAATTCTTCTCTGCTTCATCCGGAACGGGCTCTGCATCGTCGTCGTCTTCATCAATTAGAAAATCGACTGCTTCCGCCCATGGTTTTATGTAGTCGGCCGCTGAACTCGTTCGATTGGGTCCCTCGTTTTCCCCAATCTTCTCCACCAAATAGCAATTGTTCCTCAGCACTTTCGTAATTTTGTGAGAACCCAGGTAAGGCGTATGTACCTTCAGTCCTGGTCCAAACTGCGTCCTTTTAATAGCCACAAGATCATTTGGCTGGTAGATTCTCGGCACCTTCCTCTTTTTATTAAAGGTCTGCTTGTTTTTTTCTTGTACCTTCAATAATTTTTCTCGTGCCTCTTCCCTCAATCTCGTGCGGTTTGCATCAAATATCGCAATTATCTCCTCATCAATCAATCGTCGAAGTTCAATGTCGTTCTTTAACTTCATTTTTGTTCCAATGAGCAATTCAAACGGCGTTATCCCGATGCTCCGATTCAATGTTGAATTAATCATCTGCTGAACCTTATCCACGTGCTTATACCATTCTAGGGGCTTGGGCATTGACAATTTCGTCAAAACAGGTATAATTTTCCGGTTGACCCTTTCTACCTGCCCATTACCCCTCGGTACTCCAGTCGTCACCAACACATGTTCAATCGTTTCTTCCTCACAATAATCCTGGAACGCCCTTGAAGTAAATGCTGCTCCGCGGTCAGAAATAATTCTTCGTGGGTTGCCGAATATTATTGCCTGCATTTTCAGCCTCTTAATTACCTCCTCAGCTGTCGTAGATCGAGTAGGATAGAGCTATACAAACTTAGTGAATGCGTCCACTACTGCAAATATGTGACAATAGCTCTTCCGCGTCGATAGCATTGGCCCCAGGTAGTCCACGTGATACGTATGTAGTGGTGTATCTCCCTTCTCAATAACATTTAAAAAGCCTTCAGCTTTTCCGTGCTTTTTCTCCGATAAGATGCACCTCACGCAACTGTCAATTACTTTCTGCACTCGTTGTTTCATGTTTGGAAACCAAAACTGCTGCTTTAATAAATGCTCCGTCTTACTCCATCCAAAATGACCTTGTTCGTGTGCTGCTCTAATCACCTCGTACTGCATACTTCTCGGCACAATCAATAATTCATCCCCGGCAAACTCTCGATATAAAATATCTTGAGAAGTCAATTTAAAATCATCGCTAGATTTCTTCCGTGCTGCTTCAATTATTTTCAATACCTCTGGATCTTCTCGCTGCGCCTTTTGGATTCGTTCAATTAATCCGCCTCGGCCCTCCTGCAGGTATAACACTTGGACGGGGTTGCGGCTCAGTGCGTCCACACGACGCATCGATGTACCTGGCCTGTGCTCCATTGTGTATCGGTATTGTTCCAGCAAACAAATGTCCTTTTTCTTCATTGTTTGGACAAATGCCTGACAATCCGTCACTATTTTAAAATCAATCCCTAGCAGGTATACCCGGAATTTTTTCAACGGCTTAACGATAGCCAAAATCTCCAATTCGTAACTAATATACCTCTCTTCCACCGGCGACGTTTTCCAGCTGGCAAAGTATACCGGGTGAAATTTCCCGTCCTCAGAGTCCTTTTGCATTATGGCAGCACCTAGTCCTCCCTTACAGGCATCTGTATGAAGCTCCGTTTCGGCCGTCTATCGATATAGCTTCAAGATCGGCTTCTGGACCAATGCTTCTTTCAGCTTCTCGAATGCCGCCTCTTGTTCTGGCCCAAACTGGAACTTTACACCATCGCGCAACAGATTCGATAGCGGACGCGCTTGCACTGCATATCGCGGAATAAATTTACGAAAATGACCCGTAAGACCCAAAAAACTCTGCACTTGTTTGACTGTTTTCGGCTTCGGGAAATTTTTAACAGCACGCGTTTTTTCCTCAGAGGGGCGGATTTGCCCATGCTCCACGATATACCCTAGGTACTCCACACGTCTCACTAATACCTTACACTTTTTCCAATTGATAATTAGTTCGAACTTCATTGCGGTCTCTAGCACTTCCTTCAACTTTTTTAAGGCTTCTACTTCAGACTACGCGGGAATGATTAAATCATCGAGATATGTCAACGACTGCATTATTAATCAACTTCTTAAATACGGCTCTGACGAATCTCTGAAACACGGCGGGTGAATTGCACAAACCGAACGGCACGTTCAAAAACTCATAATGTCCATCTTTCAGCACGGTTCTTGAACCGAACCTCAGCGTAGTCTGATAATTCTCCTCCAATTAAAAAGTCATGCCCGATATATTCGTCAGGAATCACATTGATATTAAACTCGAAGTTTAATCCATCAATTACTACCTGAGTCCTAAATCGGCCCAGTGTACTCATATTGGGTGCACCCACACCATCAAACGGAATCTTCTTTGGCTGGAGGGGCGGCGCACCCAAACGCACAAACAGGCTAGCGCGTGCTAGGTGCAGGTCACTACCTGAGTCGATGACGGTCTTTACCTTTTGTCCCATGATGTCCACTTCTTTGTATGTTTTTTTGTCGGCAGATTTTAATGCATCAACTCTTGCCTTCGCCTTTACTTTCATTGTCTCCACGTCACTCCTTTTTTTCTGGGGACATGCAATAGAAATATGACCATAACCTTCGCAATTAAAACACCTTGGCCCTCTGTCCTTCTCTGGACAGTCTCTGCCGATGTGATTCTTCACGCCACAATTAAAACAATGTTTTTGTTATCTATCACTGGCTTCCTCGATTTGTCATTCACTGTGCCTTTAAATTGTGATTTGTATTTACCGTTGTTATTTTTCTGCATTTTGTAAAACTGAAATTTCTCCCGTAACTCTTTGATTGTCTTTGCACCGTACAACACTGATTTATTCGCCTCGTCGTCTTTTACTCCGTCCACTATGTACTGCATAATTGACTCCGTCTCTATATTAGAATGACTCGCCATTTCCAACATACGATAAATGTAAGCTTGATAAGATTCGTCTCTTTTCTTTTCAGCGGGTGCCAACTTTTTATGCACTTGCTTACTGTTCATTGTTTGCGCAAATTCTTTCACTAGCGTCTTCTTCAAGCCACGCCATGTTGTCACTTTAGTCTCGAAATTAGCAACCACTTTTGCCGATCCCTTCAATAATGTTGTTGCGTAAATCACTCGATGAGCGTCCGACCACTTGCACATTTCTGCAGTCTCCTCGAAAGATTTCAGCCAGCGGTTGATATTTTCACCAGAATCACCACTGAACGATTCCATGGACTCACGAACATCTTTGAAGGTTAGCGCTGGTCCTGTCTCTGTCACTCGACGTCTGTGGCCCACATTTCTTCGTCGTGTTAAATTGTCTCCATCTTCTTCTTCGCTGCTCGAATTTTCTTCATCGCTCGACTCTTTATCTAGAGCTCTTTGCAGTCTTATACGAAGCTCTGCCTTTTTTCCCGTCACTTTAAGTCCACGACTTCGCAATGCGGCTTTCAGCTCAGCTGTACGCATTTCGACTACGTTCAGCTCTTTCTCCACGTCTTCGTCTTCGCTTTCGTCATCGTCACTTGCTGGCTCCTTATCCATCACCTCTGTAGCATTTTTCGTCAATGCTTTCCGGAGTCTTTCGGCTAGCACCGCTTTGGTTCCTTTAATAGACCGACCGATCCCTTCTAATCGTTGTCTCAGCTCTTCAACCTCCATATCTGCAACATGATCGACACTGACGGAAGTTTCTTCGTTAGTCATCTCTGCTTCACAAAGAGTGTTGCTCTCTGAGTGATATTTTCGTCTATTGGCCGTCTGCCTATCACTCGTTGTCCAACACCGTCACTGTTTAACTTCACTTTACGACATTACGTCACCAACTCTATCATATCCATTTAATAATTTTAATACTGACGCGATCCCGGTTGAGCCCCCAATTTTGTAGGATTCATGACAGTAATTTTAATAAAAGATATGATACGATTTATTCATAGAAAAGAAAGTTAAATGTTCAAGTACATAAATATGGGCCATTCCGCCAAATATCGGCGGAAATCTGGCCTCAAAATTTTCGATACTTTTTTTTTTGCTTCTTTGTACTACTTGTGTATAGAAAAAAAGATTTCTCGACTAGGAAAGGTCCCGTCTTTTAATTGGAAGGGCTGCGCAAGGTTTAACGATTTTACGCGAAAATTGTTCAATCGAATTGAACGTTCGTAGAAATGCTTAGAAAAAAAATCAAAACATAGTTTTTGATCGGAAATTTTCTGAATTTTCCGGAAATGATGTTCATTTTCTCCCCCCGTCCCTTCTCCATCGTGAAAATCAAAAAAGAAACCTTTAAACCTCATTTTTGGCAAATCCGCCATTTTTTTTAAATCTAATATTTTTCTTTGAAAAATTTAGAAAATTTCCGATCAAAATCATATTTGAAACTTGTTCGCTTCTATAATGCTCAAGTAAAGAAAAATAACAGAAAAAAAATGAATATTCGAAAAATTATAAATATCATAGAACCAAGACCATATTTCATGGAAACATTCTCTATTTTCTATAATATCATCATCTTCTATGGAAATATTGTCTTCTTCCTACAATATTATTATTTTTTGAATATTCGCTTTTTTAGAATCATTTTTCTGCAGATGAGCATCATAGGAGCGAACAAGTTTCAAATATGATTTTGATCGGAAATTCTCGGAATTGTTGAGATAAAATATCAGATTTGAACAAAAAATGGCGAATTTGCCAAAAATGACGTTTAGAGGTTTCTTTTTCGATTTTCACGATGCAGGAGGGGTGGAGGGAGAAAATGAACATCATTTTCGGAAAATTCAGAAAATTTCCGATCAAAAACTATATTTTGATTTTTTTTTCTTAGCATCTTTTAATACGTTCTATAAGAGCGAAAAATTTCAAGTCTAAAACTCGTAATCTTGCAGACGGCCTCTAATTGAGCCTTACGCGTTGAAAAATCTTCTTTTATATACATAAGAATTCAGAAGAAGCAAAAAAAAAATTGTCAAAAATTTTGAGGAAATCTGGTTCCGCCGATATTTGGCGGAATGGCCCATATACAAGTCTTAACCCGACACTACGAACTCCGGCTAACAACTAACTCCCCTAATCATTTGCTCGTCCTTAAATGCTAAAAGTGTCCTCTGTTATCCTCGTCTTTCTCACTCACGTTCACACTCATTCCTTCTCATTCTATTTTCCACTCAATCTTTCTCACTCTACTATTCACTCATTCTATTCACTCACGAAATTATACTCAGGCCCAAACCTCCCTTTATTATTTTACAATCTGACCCCCGGTCTCTCAATTCCGCCGGGTACTTCCCCGATGGACAGACACTCCGGCGTATTTCCCCGTTGACCCGTCGCGGCTATAGAACTCGGGCCCGCACTGTCATTTTATGGCTTAATCCTCGGCTTTCCCAAAATATTCCATCAGGCTTTTTCCCACCTGCCCTCATGGCGTTTTCCCTTCACTGTTTTTCCCCACTAACACTCATTCACTTAAAATACGTATCCCACATGTATTTGAATTGTATGGGAGTATCGGGATGTTTGAGGAATGAGAGAAAAATAAAAAAAATGCTGAACTCTGTGGGGATTCATATTAAAATGAGTACCACATGCACAGTATTTAATTAGAATTAACGAGATAAGTCTTCCTTGATTTCGTCTCAGTTACATGAGTTATCTCCGGAAAATTGAGATAAATGAGTTTTACACGTAATTCTGAGATATCTTTGTTTATTCAGAAATTCTGAGATACCCTTGTTTTAAAAATAAAAATGAAGTACTCTTGTTTTATTTGCAAGGGTCGAATTGCATTCTTGGAAAATGACTGCAGTTATTAATGCTAATGAATTATCATTTGTATCACTATATCATTTCGTTCTTTCAAATTATTCTATAGTCAAACCCAATTAAGACCCCAATTCGGTTTCGGCCAGTGTTTAATCAAGGTTTAGTCAGGATTTCGCCAGAGTTTAACCCAGGTTCATTCAATATCAATATGTATCCAACATAATAGACTGATGCTTGTAAGTTTAATGAAATTTTTGGTTTCAGCAAAGGTAATTTTTTTTTGTTTTTAATGTTTCTGACGGAAATTTTCCGTCCTTTCGTATGAGGAATAGTTCAATTAGCCCACTGCATCAACCATCCCTCGAAATTGCCACTAAAGTTAAAAATTGCGTCTTGTCCCCCTCTTCCCCACTTCGATTATAAATTTTTCCATTTTTTCACTCGAAGTAACTGTTCTTAAGAAACATTATTAGGTGTATCACTTAATTCTCGGCCTCTTTTCGATAATTTTGACATTTATTCATAAATAAATGAATACAGATCTAATCTTGAAAATAATCATCGTCACTTTGCACGCATTTCTCCCATCTATCGGGCAATTGTCGGATTCCGGCTCGAAAAAAAAGATCGTGGTTTTGACAGGATGAAGTCATCAATGCTCTGCCGGACTTCTTCAGGAGATTGGAGCTGGGTATCCACCATGTGATGTTGTAGTGCCTGAAAAAGGTGATAGTAAGGCGCAAAGTCTGGAGAATTCACCGCATGTGGGAGAATTTTCCAGCCCAACATGGAGATAACTTTCAGGGTTACTTTTGCTGGGTGTGGCCGCGCGTTGTCCTGCAGTAAAATTACTTGTATTGAAAATACTTAATTTTCAAATGAAAAAAATTCAAAAACAGAATAATTGAAAGAATGTTCAAAACAGATCTAACAAAAAATTATTTTTGGCTAGAACGGAGTGAGAACCCACTCTGATTTTTTAACATGTTTCGTCTAAACAGTCACTTTAAGTAAAAAAAATCTGCAATCGAGGTGGAGGTAAGGAGTACAAGCCCATTTTTCAACGTTTTTGGAATTTTTACTTCATTTTTTATGATGTAAGCAAGTTGAAACCATGTTCGACTGAAAGAACGGGAAATTTTAGATGACAATAAAAACAAAAAATTTTGTCAAAAACTGAAAAAAACATAGAAATTGACGTAGTGAGTGTAATAAAACTTAAAAAGAACTAACACATTATTTTTGGGTCGTGTTAATAGTAAGAAAATCATACTTCTTATATACGTCAACAAAATCAAAATCTTGAAGCTAGCAAATCATACCACTAATTGTTGAAAACATCCATACCCGAGTAGAAATTTAATTGGGTTCAACTGAGGTGCAGGATACGCCCCACAGGAAGGTCGCGTCATTATGAGGTGAACCCGATCGGATCCTTACTGTAACCTCACGCAACTACGCGATGAAGAGGATAATAGGGACCTCCAATAAAAATCGATGACATTTTCCATAGTTGATAAAAAAACATTGATAACAATTGCATTGAAAACCGAATTGAATGATCATTAAAATAATCACGAAATGTCAAAAGTAGTAGTTTTGAAAAAGATTTATAAAATAACTTTTGTGATTCGATGATACATAATTCAAAACCGGATCAATTTTGTAACTAATTTCAATGTAATGAATGGTTCATTTACCTCGAAAGGGAGTTTGAAAATCAGAGGCACCTGACAATGACTCGATCATGCCATCATATAAAATACCCTGTCAAACTTGATATTCTTCATAGCGTTCCTTTATCAGGAGAACCCGGCGACGACATGATCATTTCCTGAGTAGGTTTACCCTATTTGATTCGAAATTATTTTCATTGGGGGCAACCGAAGATGACCTGACGATTTTTCGATGCGGTTTACCCTTTCTTACTTATCATGCTGCTACCCTTGTAATCTCCCAATAATGTGCTCATCAGGGTATCCGCCCTCAGGATTACCAGACCGAAGTCTGATCGGGACCCGTTGATATATTAGCGTACCCCGACAAAAGTTCTACCCGAGTATATCCTATTTCAGATTTATGCATTGTCTTCATGCCGGGGAATACCACCGGAAGCTTGGTGCACTAATGAAGAAATCGCCACACTTTGTAAGGTAATTTCATTATTTTATGATTGAAATTAAATTGAGTAGGAAAGTAGGGACACAGAATGGATCCATTTAGTGTCAGCAAAGGTAAAAATCTTCTAATTTCACCAGAAATCGATAAATTTCATTATAGAATAGTGTGCCAGCTAGAAGAAAAAAGGTCATAGATTTCGACGTCTTCTTTGAATTACAAAATATTTACTTTTTTTTTTATTTATCTTGCAATTCTTCATGACTCAATTTGCGTCTAGAATCCAATAATTTACTTCCCGGTCCGAAAGGAGGAATTTATTATTTTTTAAATATCATTAGTAGTATGCATAGGCCCCATTGAAATCAAATGTGGGCGAGGGGTGTGCAGGGCAGGAGGGGCGGGTGGGCAGGGGGGGGATATTCTTGCCGAGTGCTGGCCAGGCAATGAGAGTGGGAGAAGGAAAGTCATGCGTTGTCGCGGCAGTGGTAAGTATGCATAGGCCCCATTGAAATCAAATGTGGGCGAGTGGTGTGCGGGAAGGGGGGGGGGATGTTTTGCGTGTTGTGCTAGTGAGGGAGGTCGCTCGGAGGTGGGGGTTTCAGCTATGCATGGGTTGGCTCAGCCTCAAGATGCGGGAAATTTTGAATACAATAGAAGCGCTCATGGTCCTTATGGAATTATCCCCCATCAAGGGAAGGTATTTTGAAAAAAAAACTAAAAAATGCATAGAATTTGTTTTTATATATATATTTTTCTTGTTATATTTTTGCAATCTTCAATATTTATATCGACCTTCGCCTACAGAACCGTATTTTCCTGGAGTGGATTCTTTGTTGTAGGGCTTACTACCCTCTAAGGTTTTGGATTTCTCGAATTCCATGCGGAATGTAGCGGTGTGCCTCTGCTGCTCTTTTAACCAACTGCTCT